GTGAACATCTACAAAGAAATAATCTGAAGAGTTTCAGTCAGGGTTTAGAGCTCATCATAGCACAGAAACAGCACTAGTAAAAGTCACTAATGATATTCTCATGGCCTCAGACAATGGACTTGTGTCTCTACTGGTCCTGTTAGACCTCAGTGCTGCATCTGATCCAGTTGATCACAATATTTTACTACAGAGGCTTGAAGATGATGTTGGGATTACAGGAACGGCTCTAAAATGGTTTAAATCATATCTATCTGATAGATTCCAGTTTGTAAATGTAAACCATAAATCTTCTTCATACACCAAAGTTAGTCATGGAGTTCCTCAGGGCTCAGTGCTTGGGCCAATATTTACTTTATATATGCTTCCATTAGGTAAAGTTATTAAACAGCATGGGATAAATTTTCATTGTTATGCTGATGACACTCAATTATATTTGTCCATTAAACCCAATGAATCCAATCAGCTACTTAGACTACAAGCATGTCTTAAAGACATAAAAACCTGGATGACCCTTAATTTTCTCCTGTTGAACAGACAAGACTGAGGTTTTGGTTTTTGGACCTGAGCACCTTAGGAATGAATGTTTCAGTCTTTCTCCCTCCTTAGATGCATTAATCTGTCCTCCAGCTCTAATGTTAAAAATCTTGGTGTTATTTTTGATCAGGACATGTCTTTTATCCCCCACATTAAAAACGTTACTAGAACCTCCTTCTTCCACCTGCGTAATATCACTAACATTAGAAACATCTGATCTAAAGATGATGCAGAAAAACTGGTCCATGCATTTGTCACGTCTAGACTGGACTATTGCAATGGTTTATTATCTGGGTGTCCAAATACTTCTTTAAAACGTCTTCAGTTGATCCAACATGCTGCTGCCAGAGTCTTAACTGGAGTTACTGGGAGAGATCATATCTCTCCAGTTTTAGCTTCTCTCCATTGGCTCCCTGACAAATCCAGAATAGAATTCAAAATCTTACTTCTAACCTACAAAGCTCTCAACAACCTAGCTCCATCTTATATTACAGATCTTATTGTTCCATATTTTCCTAACATATTTTCCTAACGGTGGAAGTGGTCTCCAACTACAAGTACTTGGGTGTGCACCTGAACAACAACCTCAGCTGGAGCACCAACACCACCAGCCTGATGAAGAAAGCTCATCAGAGACTCTACTTCCTCAGACGGCTGAGACGAGCTGGTCTGGAAGCTCAGTCCTCACCTCCTTCTACAGGTGTGCAGTGGAGAGCATCCTGTGCTCCAGCATCAACGTGTGGCATGGAGGCTGCACAGCTGCAGAAAGAAAAGCTTTGCAGAGAGTGGTGAAGGCTGCACAGAAGATGTTGGAGTCAGTCTTCCCACCATCACAGACATCTACACCTCCAGATGCAGG